CGGCCGGCCTTGCGGTGGGGGCGGGGCGGCGGGCCTCCCGGACGGCGGCGCCCGCTTCCTCGCTGGGTCTAGAAGGGACCCGCTGCGGGCGCGAGGGCCGGGCCGCCGGCTTCTCCTTCGCCGTCAGCTGGAGCGGCTGCGGCTGTCAGTGTTCACAGCCGGCCGCAATTTGGCCGGCGGAACTTGGCCTCCGACGTTTCGCAAGGGAATCAGCTAGTTCGTTAAAGTTTATTCCACTGGCTCTCAAGGCTCTAAGATACATTTAGGCACCACGAAAGTTAAACACTGTTAACTTGGGGGTTAAGAATTTGCATTTATACCTCACTTTGACTCCAAGGTCAACGTAGCATATTTGCAAAAAGGGTAAGGAAACATTTTGAAAGGGGATTGGAGCAGGGAGTTAGGAAGCGAGAAATCCCACTCTGTTATCTTAATAGGGGTAGAATAGAGGACAGTTGAGCTGGGAGTCATTGTTGAATTCTAATTTAAGTGTCATACCCACGTAGGTAATAACATTTTGCTAAATTAGTCTGTAGCTTTAGGAGATTTGCTTTAAAAAAATCATTCATTCATTCATTTATTTAATACAGGGTCTCACTATGCAGCTCAGAATCATAGTGATCCTCCTGTCGGATTCCCCAGCGCTGGGATTACAGGTGTGCGCCGCCACCATGCCAGGTTTCAGTGGCCAGCTCCGTGTGGGGCCCGCACCCTTAGGAGATTCTTTTCTGTGTAAATGAAGTTTACCTTTGGGGATTTGACAGTTATTCCAAGGGACCAATCTGTGAGCAGGATTAATGATATAACAGTAGAAAGATAGATGCGAATTCTAAAAGCTAGAAAAGTGGTTAGAAGTTTATTTTAATAATGTGTTTGTAAGTTACTGAATGACCTAAACAAGGAATACATTTTGAGAGAACTAAAAATCACTATGTTTATTTAATCATGGAGAATGAGAAATTTGTGAAGGCATAGAATTTGCAGTTGAGTGGGAAGATTGGGCAGTAATTGAAATGGATGGTACAAGAAGAACAGGTTTGGTGGCGGAGATGGTAATCTAGATTTTGTATGTTCTTAGCTTTGAAATGCTGTGGTATGTATTTGTGGAAAGACCCAGCAAACAATGAGAAATGAAGGCTTGGGGTTCAGAAGAGAGATCAGGGCTGGAGAGAAGAATTTGGTGTTGTTGAATATAGACCATAGTGACAAATACCTGTAATCCCAGCACTCCGGAAAATGAGAAGGATCCAGTGAAAGTCTGGAATAGGCTACCTAGCAAGACCTTGTCTCAGAAAAATGCAGTGTCATTTGTTCACTATAGAAGTAATTGCTCTGTGCTGTCAGGGAAGCGTTTATGGAAACCTGTTAAACTAATAGTGAAGACAGTTTTGAGAAGTGAGGAATGACTTGAGGATGTTCTTTTGCAGTTCCGAAAATGTAAGATTCATTTAGTTGCATTGCACACTTGTGTATATACTAAAGACAGTTTACTTTAAAACTAATTATTGTGAACTCTGTTTTTAAAAACATTTACATTGCAGTTTTGAAATGTGTCAAATGGAATTAGGAAGAGGAACACATTTAATTGCATATTTGCTCTTATACTGCTGGGCTAATATACTTAGCAAGTTCTTTGTTAGGGTCAGCACACTGTACTCTAGTATATCCTACTACTACTCTGTTTTCTCCATACATTATTGTACATACAAGCCATAAATTTGTGTGTAAGTTGTTTGGCAATACTCAGTTATGACATAGATACTCACTTTCAGAAAATGCTTATGTTAATTTTTCTTTTTTTCTTTTGAGACAAGGCCTTGCTGTGCAATTTAGGCTGGCTTTGAGCTCACTTTTAGCCCAGGCTGGTCTTGGACTCACAACGATCTTAAAATGGTGCTTGCTTCGGCAGCACATATATTGTTGAAAATGCACACACTGAGATAAAAAGATGGGATAGATAATATACAAAGTTAGTAAATAATTGCCTGATTCTTAGAGATTTTATAATCCTAGAATCCCCAAATTAGAAAAACTTCAATGATAGCTTTAAGGATATACAAACATTTGATAATTTCTTGGCTTGTTGAGATGAGCTGGAACTGGAGAAAAGGAATTTTTTTCCCCCAGACTGGGGGGTTGGACCTAGGGCCTGTGCACTGAGCTACATCTGCCATCGCTTTTTTTATTTTTGATTTTGAGACAGGGGCTCATTTAAATCACTGAATTATCCAGGCTGGGCTCAAATTTGAAATTCTCTTTCCTCAGCCACCCACTATGCCTGGATTACAGTATGTGCCACCACACCCAGCCAAGAAAAGGGCTGTTTTTCCCTGTATTTTAGGGAAGGGTCTACAGGACAGTCAGGGTCTCACTACTAGATCAGACTTGTAGGGATTCTCCTGTTTACAGCCTCCCAAGTGCTGGGATCACAGTTGCACCACCACGCCCAGTCTCAATTGGCATCTCAGCATGCCCCGGGGTAGGGCCGGCTGGCCAGCAGGCAGGCCCAGGGATCAAACCCCCAGACCTTGTGCCTGCTTGCAGGTGCTTTAATCCACTGAGCTATTTGGCCAGCCAAGAAAAGCAATTTTTAAGTCTTGCCAAGTTTGAGATCAATACTAGAAACATGCAGTTACTGTTTATGCCTCCTTAGTAGATGGGAATCCTGACCCTAGGTTAGTAACTTGGACAAGTGATTTATTGAGCCCTGGTTTTTTCCTCTATAAAACAATGAATTGATAACCCACGTTAAGCTAGTGTAGTTGTTGCATAAAAAATATAAATGTAAAAATTGGAGGAGTTTTGGGGGTACTGGAGATCAAACTCAGGACCTTGAGCTTGCCACACAGGCACTTACGTTGCTTAGCTACATCCCCAGCCCCAAGGATTTGTGATACTGTACTTTATGTAGGAAAATGTAGGAGTATTTTTATTTATATCTTATAAATTATTGTTTCTTTACAGTGAAAAATGAGGATTTCGGGTGGTTAGAAGGAAAAACCAGCAAATAACCACTTAGATACTTCTGGTGTCCGTTAGGTAAAGTCTGTCTTATTCTAACTTTTCAGTGCACCTTAATATTAATGAAAAATCTCTTCCTGAGTATATTTTATACTTTATAACAATAGACCCACTTTTAGAAACACTTATAGCAAATAAAATGACTTCTTGTAGCAAAATCCTTGAGGGAAATAAGCTAACTAAGAAAGAATTTGGGGCTGGGAGAGTAGCTCAGTGGTAGGAGAGTGCCTAGCATGCTCAAGGCTCCAGGTTCTTTTTTTTTTTCTTTCTTTGCGGAAGTGGGGGGGGGGGATTGAACTCAGGCCCTTGCGCTTGCCAGGGAAGCACTTACTCTACTGAGCCATCTCCCCGGCCCTGGGTTTTGATACTGATACCTAATGCATGATTTTTCCTTTTGAGACAGTCTCTCTACACAGTTCAGGCTAGTCCTGAACTCACTGTCTAGCCCAGGCTGGCTACGGTCCTCCTGCCTCAAGCCCCGAAGCGCTGGATCACGGGTGTGCACCATCACACCTGGCTCAGAAGATTTTTTTTTTTTTTTTTTTTTTGCTGACTCAGGATTTACCTGGCCCAGGATGTGTTCTGTTTTAAAACAGATGTTTTGAGGCTGAATTCTTTGTTTGCTTGTTGTGATTTTTGACTATACAATTAAAAGAAATGCCGTATTTATTTAACTATTTTCTCATTTCTCTCTCCTTTTTTTTTTTAAACTTTATTTTTAATATTTATTTTATTTATTACATTTATTTATTGTGTGTGTGTGTGGCCAGCTCAGCCCACCAGGGGACGGGTCTGGCTGGCATGTGGTGCTGGGGATCGAACCGCGGTCCCTGTGCTTTGCCAAGCTTGTTTCAAGTAGGTGCTT